AATAAAAATTAAAATAAAAATAAAAATAAAATTCTATAATTAATAATTAAACTGACTGATTATTAAATAAAAATTTAAATATTGAATTATAAAAAAAAGTTGAATATCAATAAAATAATAATTTGAAATAAAATAAATTAAATGTAAATAAAAGTATTTAAGTTGGGTATTAATCAATATTTGTTATCGCTTAATCCCAAATTGTACAGTTATTTTTTAGTTTCTTTTATACTGATAAAAAATATTAAATAAAATTTATTTTTTTAAAATAATAAGAAAAATATGTGAGAAAATTAAAAAAAAATAAAAAAATAAAAAAAAAAAATTTAAAGTTATTTTTCGAGCCATATGGGTAATATTGACAAATTTTCACTAAAGACACTTAAAAATTTAAGCAAAAAAATATCTAAAGATATCTGGAAAAAAAAAGATTTAAAAATATATAATTTTAAAAAAAAAAATATATTTTTATTTATTTATTTTAAACGAAAAAAATTAAAAAATGAAAATTTATTTTAAAAAAAAACTATAGTTTATAAACCAAAATAAATAAATAGATAAAAAATATCTGGTGAGGTTTATGTTAAACTGTTATAATAACACATTTCCTCGTGGATTTAACTTTATATGCACTCTATTTTATTGTGTTGCTTGGAGTTAGAAAAAAAAAAAAAAAAAAATGTAATTATATATTTAGACATGAAATATTTTCAACAAGCATTTTGATTTTAGAAATCATTAAATATTTTTAATTAAAAATAAAATAATATTAAAAATAAAATTAATTAAAGTTATCCAAATATTTTATTTTTCGGTTTTTAAATTTTTATTTTTTTTTTTTTATTTTTTTATTTATTTTTTTTATTTTTTTTATGTCATTATTTGTTTGTTGTAATATTTTTGATGGGTAATTTTTTTTTTTTCATATTTTTAAAACATAAATTAAAGGATAATTAAACTTTAAATAAAAATGGCACTTTCATTAGAAAAAAGAGAATTAATTATTGAAAATTTTCTCCAAGGAAAAAGTGACCAAGAAATTGCAATTTTAATTGGTGTGGATAGGTCAACTATTTACCGAATTAGAAAGCATTATCAAAAAACAAACTCATTAGAACCAAAACCAATTCCAGGACGTCCAAGAAAATATAATGAACGAACAGAAAGATTTTGTAAAAAATCTATATTAAATGGTAAATCAAATAATGCAGGAGAGTTAAGTAAACTTGTTCAAAAATCATTGGATATAAGACTTTCAAACTCAACAATTGGAAGAATTCTTAAAAGACAAAATATTTTTTATAAGTATTCGAAATGCAATAAAAAAAATTCAAAAAAAGCATAAATTTTCTAAAATACAAATAAAAAGAGTGTTGTAATAACTGTGTTATTTATTTTGAGCAAAATCAAAAATAATTTATTTCTTTTTTATAATCTATGAATAAATAAAATATTATTTATCAATTTATATTTTACCAAATGTATCAGTAATAAAAACTACATCAATAGTAGGTTGAGAAACAATTGATTGAATATCTTCAATTTTTTTTAATAATATTTCCAACAGCTTCATCTTTTTGTTCGGTCGTTGTTAAAAGCATAACTTTTCATTTTCTCTAATGGTTTCACTAAATTGATTAATTTTATTTACAATAAAAAAACCATCTGTTTTATACAAAAAAAGAAAATATTAATTACTATAATAATTATTGATTAATAATAATGGTGGTGGTGTTAAAAACTTACCCTTTTCATTTTCATCCTCTATTTCAATGTTATATTCATCATTATTTTTTTGATAAGTTGGTTTATCAATGGATTTATATGAATGAGCAGATACTTGTGGGTTTTTTGAAGACTCGCTTAAGGAAATTAGACTTTTTAAAAATATTATTTGATTTTCGTTTGAAGTGCTAATACTCGAAAATGTCTGATTAAATTTACCAGGAGAAACCTTGAAAAATAAAACCCAGTGAGTACTTTATCATTACAAAAAGAGTCTATAAACATTTCACCAAATTTACTTTCTATCCATTTAATTTGTTCATGATATCTACCGACATAAATAGAATGGTGAATAGAAAGAATTTTTTTAATAATATTTCCAAACAGGCTTCATCTTTTTGTTCGGGCCGTTGTTAAAAGCATAATTTTTCATTTTCTCTAATGGGTTCACTAAATTGATTAATTTTATTTACAATAAAAAAATCATCTGATTTATATTAAAAAAAAGAAAAATTAATTACTATAATAATTATTGATTAATAATAATGGGGGGGGGTAAAAACTTACTTACCCTTTTCATTTTCATCCTCTATTTCAATGTTATATTCATCATTATTTTTTTGATAAGTTGGTTTATCAATGGATTTATATGAATGAGCAGGTACTTGTGGGTTTTTTGAAGACTCACTTAAGAAAATTAGACCTTTTAAAAATATTATTTGATTTTTGTTTGAATTGTTAATACTCGAAGAAGTCTGATTAAATTTACCAGGAAAAGTTCTAGAAAAATAAAACCCAGTGAGTACTTTATCATTACGAAAAGAGTCTATGAACTTTTCACCAAATTTAATTTCTATCGATTTAATTTGTTCATAATATCTACCAACATAAATAGAAAGTTGAATAAAACCAGAAAAAAGTGTTTTTAATTGTTCAATGACCTGATCAAATGGAATTGCTACTTGAGTCCAAAATGCATTAGCCCACATTTTTACTGTTGTTGTATAGCAAGAGCTCTTGTCGAAATCAACGAGAAGACTTATACCATCACCAAATAAATCAATTGGAGCCATAATAATAAAGAGGGATATGTGGTTCTTTGTGAATAGTTGAACGGCATCGGAAAAATCTGAGCTTCTTCTGGTTAAACGATCAAGAGAGGCAACAATGACAACATCAAATTCTTCAATTTCTTGATAAATTATAAATTTGAGTTCTTTCTTGAAACGATGTCCAATAACAACTAACAACCTCTATTATTAATCTTGGAGTCATATTAAATGGTGGTTTGTTTGGTAAGTTCTTTAATTGTAAAAAGAACTTTGAGTTGATATCAAGACATGCATTAATAAACTTTTTCCATGAGAAAGCTGAGCATCTGTACTTTCTTTTATAAGTACCCAAAAAAAATTCTTAAAAGGCAGTAAAAAGATAGATAAATAATAATAGTAATAATATTTGTAAAAAGAAATATATATAAATAATAATATAAATAACAACATTTTGCAAATTGAAATGAAAAAAAATATGAAAAATTTCCTTTAAATACCAAAAACTTTTTGTTTTTAACAAATGTTTTTTTTTGAAATTTGTGATTTTATTTGTTAAAAAAAAAAAATCTTTAAAAATTTATAATAATATACATTTCTTTTTATTTTTATGGCTCAATAATTCACCTACACTAATATATTTTGTAGAGAAACATTTTTATTTTATTTTTATTTTAAATTTAAAATAAAAAAAATTTTATTTATAAATATAAAAATCAATCATAAAATTTTACATAATTTATATAAATAATTGCTTTTAAATAATTTTTTTTAATTTTTTTTTTTTTTTTTTTTTTTTTTTTTCAATTTTTTCATTTTTTTTTTTTTCATTTTTTTATTTTTTTTTTTTTCGTTCATTTTTTTTATCACCAACAAACAAAAATGTATGTAATTATTTATTTTTTTTTATTTATTCGTTAATAATTTTTATCATATAATGATGAATCAATAATTCACTTCTACATTAATACATTCTGAAAACATTTTGTAGAGAAACATTATTTTTTTCCTGAATATAAAAATTTTATATTTATAATAATAATAATAATAATAAAAGATTAGTTATATTAATAATTATTTATTTATTAATAGGTCATAAATATATCTGCCTTATTCCAAGAAACTCTATAATAGCCAATACCAAAAGTGCTTGTAATTAAAATGCATTCTCTTTGTTGGGATGTATTAAATTTTCCTTTAACGCTATACTGCCACGGATAACATCACATTGTAAATATAATTTTTCAGTATTTATAAAATATATTTTTAGTGTACTCTTTAAAAATTAAAATAAAATATTAAATAAAACTCATTAGGGTTTATTAAAAAAAATAATAAAAAAACAATTAAAACCGTTTAAAATGTTTTTATTATATACATCTTGAATTAAAAATATTATAGTGTAAAAAAAAAAACTTTATTTATAAAAAGCAAAACATAAATTCTATTCCTAAACAAAATTACAAAAATAAAAATTATACTGATAAAAACATTTTTTTTATTTTTTTTTATTGGATATGATGATAAATAAATAATTTTTTTTTTTATTAATTTAATAATTAAAATTATTTATAAATAAAAAAGTTAAAAAAACAAACTAGAACAAATACTACTAGGTACTCTTTTTATGGATATAAATGATAACATTTTCCTTTATGTAAATCCCAATAGCTAGATAAAAATAAATAAATAAATTAATATGTATATAATAAATTTTTTTAATTAATTAGTGTGTAATAAAATTTTTTACCATTTTTCTAAAACATATTCATAAACTATGCATGTTGCTTGATTTACACCATCACAAATATTTAATGATCTTGGATTTTTTTTTTCTAATTGAATAACATCAGATTTGATGACTGATGAAAAAATTAAAATTAAAGATAAATAAAGTAATATTGATTTTAATGAAAACATATTTAATAAATAATAAAAAAATGGTAATAAAAAAAATAATAAAAATAAAAATAAAATAATTTTTTTTTTTTTTTTTTTTGCTAACAAAAATCCTTTTAAAAATCTAGATATTTTTATTTTATTTTTTTTGTAAAAATTTACCAGGGGTTGTTTATTAATTAAAAAATAGGAAATAAAATTATAATTATCCCAAAATTTAATCTAAAATATTTTTTAATATATATTTATTTCCTTTAATTTCCATAGGTTGTTTTGAAATTTCAACAAATGATTTAAAATTAACATTTACATCCATGATAAAAATTTTATTAATGATTGGATTTTCAATAGCATTTTCTATATTTAAAATAATATTTAAAATATCATTACCATTTGCGACTTTACCTTTATACTTTTTAATTGATAAAGAATCTAATATGGTTGGTAATATTTTATGTACAATTGAATACATTACACCAGGTTCTCTTGAATAAATTAATTCTTTTGGTACATTTTTAACTTTTGAGAATTCATTCAAAAAGAATTGCATTTCATTTTTTGTTGCTTTTAATACAACTAAAGATTTAATAGCGTTGTTACCCCAAAAATAATTAATTGCTCGTTTACTTGAAATATCTTTTTTATTATCATTTAAATAATTATAAAAATATTGAGTTTTATCTAATTGATTTGAAATATTTTTGATTTTAGGATTAAAGTCTAATTGAAGATTAGCACTTGAACTAAAAATTAAATTAAATTTTGGTAAATCTATTGAATTTCTGGAAATATTATTATCATATCTTTCATACTCTAACACCATACTAAATAAAAATGATTTAATAGCAAGATTTCTAATTAAATCATCATTCATTTGTAATGGTTCAATATAAGAAATAGATGATGAAATTGAGAACAAAATAGTTTGAATAGTATTTATTTGAAAGTTACTTAAACCATCTGGATCATTTGAACCTTCAGAATCTAAAAAAATAATAGTACCATCTTGACTTTGTTTAAAAAGATTTGATATTGAATTTTTTAAAGATAATAAACTATTATCAATTATATTATTAATATCTGAAATTTTAATTAATTGAACCCAAATACCTCTAGTGCAACCTCTTGAGCCTAAACAATTATTTTCATTATCAACACTACTAGAACTCCCATTTTTTGGAATTTTGACTCTAAAAAATTTTAAATTACAATTTTTTTTAATTTCATTTTTTAAAAGAAACATCGTATATAAATCTAACCTTGATGATTTAAAAGATGAATAATAACCAATTTCTGAATAAATTAATAATGGTCCTTTTAAATTACTAAATATATTTTTTGCATTGTCTTCAATTTTAATTTTATTATCATTTGTAATTTGTAGTAATTGAAATGGTTCGATTGGACAATTGGTTTGATTATTTGATTCATTGTTATTTTTATTTTTTAAAAAAAAATTATTTTCAAAATTATTTAATTTTAAAATTATAAAAATAGTTGTAAATAAAATACATAAAATATATATTATTTTCATCTTTAATAGTTAAAATAAAAAAAAAGAAAAAAAAAAAAATTTTATTTAAAATAAAAAAAATAAAAAATAAAAAATTTTCTGAGTTTTTACAACTTATTATTTTTCAGAAATTTTTTTTTAAGTATTCAAAAAAAAAACTAAAAAAAAAAAAAACAATTTTTTTTTATATATATATTATTTTATTTTATTTATTTTCTATTTTTATAATTTAAAATTATTTTAAAGCTTTTAAAGAATTTTGACAAGATTTTAAAGCTTCATTAATTTTTTTTACATTTTCTTTATGTTTTTCGGGAGTATTACAGTATAAATCAAGTGTACATAAGCATTCGTTTAATAAACGTCTCATATTTGAAATTGAATCTGCTTTCTTTTGATCTTTTAGAGTTGGTATTATTGTATTTGATCTCGAATAACTATTACTACCACTATTATTTATTGAATTGCTTCTATTTGTACCTTCAATTGAAGTAATGGAACCATTTATATTTTGAAATAATGTACTATTACCACGAGTATAATTTCCAGATGATAAATAAGGTGGTGAAGTTGGAGTTGAAATTGGATGAGTTTCTTGTGTTGGACTATACATTACACCAATAGACATTGTTTGTTTTAATGGTGTTGATCGAAAATTTGGTGATGTAACTGATGGTGAACTAGATGGTGATATATGATTTGGTGATGAGGTTGAGTTTTTATGAGAATTATATGGACTATTAATATAATTATAACCATTTTGTGATGATAAATTATTATTATTATTATTATTATTATTATTATTGTTTATATTATTTAATGATGATGATGACGATGATGATGAATTTGATATTGAATTTGAATTTGAAATATTATTATTATTAATTTGTATTGTAGGTCTTTTTGGTAATGGTATTGGATTTTTTTTAATAGTTGTATTTATTGTAGATGTTGATGTTGATGAGGATGATGAAGAGGATGATGAGGAGTTATTATTGTTAGTATTATTATTATTATTTAAATTATTATTACTATTTAAATCATTATTATAATAATTATTATTATTTAATTCATCTGGTAGTTTTAAAGCTGTTGTTGTATTTGTTGAAATTATTGAAGAAGAAGTTGAAGAAGAAGTTGATCTTGATAATTTTGTTGGATTTAATAGTAATAAAATTTCTGGATCACTACATAGATCTTCACATGATTCATTTGTATTTTGAGTTGTTAAATTTGGATCAGCATTATATTGAATTAAATAATTAATAGCCGTTATATTCTTTTTATAAATTGCAATGTGTAATGGAGTTTGTCCTATTTTATTATAAATATTTGGATTTGCATTATTTGATAATAAAATTTTTAAAGCTTGATCCAAACCAGAATAGGCTGCCAAGTGAAGACAAGTATCTTGACAAATAGTTGTACCTTGGTTTATATCTATGCCTTTTGAAGTGAATAAAGTAATACCTGTTTGAAACTCTTCATTGGTCCATTTCCTAAGACAAAAGTTATGAATTGGATATTCACCTTTCTTTGATGGGGTTGATGGATCAATATCTTGATGTAATAAAAACTCTATAATATTAAAATGTGAAATTGTACATGAAAGATTTAAAGGGGTTAAACCATGATTATTTGTTGAATTTAAAAATAAATTTATATTAATCTCTGTTGTAATCCAATCTAATGGGTGATTATTTAAAATTGCAGTATGAAGTGGTGTATTTCCATCTGGGGATGCTGTACAACTATCAATATCAATATCTTCAATAAATGTTTTTGAATTCATAGATTGGCTATTATATCCACCTTCTTGACTATTTGTAATACTTAGGCTTCCACTACCAGAAATTGAACTATTACTTGGTGAGCAACTTATAATATTATTATTATAATTATTATTATTATATGATAATGAATTACTTGAATGATTTTGATTTAATAAATTATTATTATTATTATTATTGTAACTATAATTGTTATTATTATTTATGTTATTTATACCATTATTTAAACTATTTGAACTACCACTACCACTTGAAACTGAGTGTGAAATTGAATTTGATGTATTTTGTATTATTGTTGTTGTTGTTGTTGTTATTGATGATGAAGTTGTTGTATTATATTGTTTTGAAATTCTTGATGAAGTTCTTTTTTCATTTTTTCTTTCTTGTTTTTTATTATTAATTTTTTCAACTATCATTTTTTTAAAATCCATTACTGTATTTACTTTAGGTAAAACCTCACTTGCTAAACCACTAACAAATTGAAAAACTTTTTGAAACAACATATAGGATCCATTCCAATCTTTCCAAACTGAAGAAAATACATCCATAATTACACAATAAATTTCATTTAAAGAATCTTCGGTTTCAAATAACACTGGATAAATTTGACCAATAACATCGGTGGGTGACGCTGAAATATTAATTGGTTTAACACATTCCACCAAAAATTGAGTAACTTGAATACCGCTTGTAGCATATGGATAATAATTATCAGTATTGGCTTTTTTGATTGCATTTTCGAAATAATCTTTATGATGATTTGCTAAATAAATTAAATGTTTTAGACCTGCTAAACCCATACCCCTAAAATCACTAGAAGGATCTTTATTTTGAAAACCTAAATCTGCCCAATTTTTATGAGATCTTTGAAATGGTTGATTTGGAAATAATATATTCCATAACGATTCTAATAATCTTTGATGTGATAGCTCTTCTTTATTATATGATGTTTTTGAATCCATAATTAAACCTTGAATTTTATGACACTATTTAAAAAAAATAATGTTAGAAAAAAAAAAAAAAAAATTTTAAATATATTACTTACTTGAAATAAATAAATTTGTTTTCGAAATGCAGTATCTGTTGTACCAAGTTGGGATTTTAAAGTTTGTGAACAATGAAAAGTTTCTAAATTTTTTAAAAATTCTATGGGACATGGCGAAAATGATATCATATTATTTATTAAATTTAATGTTGATGTTTGAGTATTTATATCTTTACTAACAAGATTTGAAACAATAATTACATATATATTATTTTCACCTGCTGATTTTTCAATTGAATTTTGTAACATTAAATAACCTTTTCTATGTGTTGCTAATTTAATCTATATTATTAAAAAGTAAATTAATTTTATTTTTAAAAAAAAAAAAAAAAAAAAATTAAAATAATAATATTTACACCTAATTTTAATGATGGATTAACATTAATATAACCAAAATTAGCCACAACTCTATCAATAACATCTTGTGAAATATAATCCCAAGAAAATTCTGGTGAAGTTGATAAAGTTTCTAAAATACCAAATGCAACTGATGATGTATTTCCACTTGTTGATTCTGATATAATACTCTGTAAATAAAGTAAACCATTTCTTTTTATAAATTCTGCTTGAAAATTTTTCTATTAAATTATATAAAAAAATATTTTTTTTTATTAATATTTTATTTAATTTTTTTTATTTTTAATTTTTATACATACAGTTAGATGACTTTTTAATAATACTAACGATTTCTTATGATCTTGACAATTTTTCATAGTTTCTAAAACTGATTCAACTTGAAAAATAGTACTTAATTGTAATTCTAAATTTTATTATCAATTTTTATATAAGCCCCATGATTCTGTGGAAATATGCCTAAATTAAAGATTATTATAAAATGTTTTTTTTTC